ATTTCAGATCTTTACATTTCCTTCAAATTGTACATGTCAGAGTTAAGGAAAAATAGTTTAAAAAGAGACTATGAATTTCTTGCTGTTTTTCTTTTCCCTGATAGCCATGCCAAAATGTAAGAACACAATTTTAGAGAAAGCAACTGTGACTTTTTATTTTTCAGAGGCTTGTGAATCCTGATTATTTTTTTGTCCTTTACTTCTTTAGGGTCACTTTCTGAGGTGCAACTTGTGTCATCGGGGCCAGGAACTGTAAAGCCAGGGCAAAATCTCAATTTGGTCTGTAAAGTTACTGGTTTCTCCATCACGAGTAGCGGCTATTTTTGGCACTGGATCCGTCAGCCTCCAGGGAAAGGCTTAGAATGGATAGCCAACATCTACCCTTATGATGGCAGAAAATGGTACTCACCTTCTCTTCAAAGCCGCACCACCATTGCTTCAGACAACTCCAAGAATGAATATTCCCTTCAGTTGAACTCCATGTCAGCTTCTGACACTGCCGTGTATTATTGTGCCAGAGATGCACACTGAATGATTTTGTCTGCTCTTCTGGGCAAAAACAGGAAACTGATTCTGACAGGGCATTACATTTAAAATTGTACTCAGTCATTGAAATCATTTGAATTTTTGGAGGGATATATCTCCAAGAAGAAAATCAAAACAGTGGGCTTGTCGCTGAAATTCATCTTGAGACAATAATAAAGATCCATCTGTCTGAATCCACTCCAGTGAATTGATATGAATTTTATGACTTTTTTGCAGCTCACTACCCAGGTAGAAATGGGGTAGAGTTTGAATCACAATGTCCTTAAACCAAATGAAAAGAGTCAGAAATGGAAGGAAAAGAAAGCTGCCTGTGGTGTCCACAGATATAAAAGCAGATGTGCACTTTCTGAAGGTTCACACAAAAAGAAGGGGTGGATTTTGTTTTTCTCATGGGATGTTCAAGCCAATGGATTAAAAAAAACAAGGAGGAGATGTCTATAGAAGGGATCAAGCATGGACCAGGCTGTCCAATGGCATGGTTAGTTCTAAAAGATCCATCTTGCTACAATGAATTACAGATATGTCTGCTTATTCATTTGAACCTTAATAAAATGTAAGAGTAAGCACACTCTTGATGGCATGGAAGTGACATCTATTTGTGCAGCTCCCTATCCAGGTGGGAATTAGAGTTCCGATCATAATGTCCTTAATGAAAAATAAAAAGAAACAGAAAATGGGTTACATTTACAATTTTTCCATATATACGTATGTATGTATGTATGTATGTATGTATGTATGTATGTATGTATGTATCTTTCTTTCTCTTTCTTTCTTTCTTTCTTTCTTTCTTTCTTTCTTTCTTTCTTTCTTTCTCTCTTTCTTTCTTCTTTCTTTCTTTCTTTCTTTCTTTCTCTACCTTCCTTCCTTTTCTTTCCTTCCTTCTTTCCTTCCTTCCTTCCTTTCCCTTCCTTCCTTCCTTCCTTCCTTCCTTCTTTCCTTCCTTCCTTCCTTCCTTCCTTCACTCTCTCCTCCCTTATTTCTGATATCAGATTTTCCTTTAGACCTGTTGCTGAACACCAGAGATCAATACTGAAAATCAAAATAAAATGTGCTAGGCACCTAAGAAATAGAGCGAATAAAGGAGGAAAGAGGCAATGCAGCCTAATCTCTATTTCAAATTTCTCTCTTCAGATCATCAAGTTTAGGGTAGAAGCCAAGCTTTAATTTACTGTTTGACAAAGGCAGATTTATAATGTGTAAGAGATTTCCTCTAGGAGGCACCAAAGTGCTGCAAATCAGAACTGCAAATACAGGACAAGACCAATGTATGATATCGGGAAATATAAAAAGCAGAACATTTCTAAGACAATTACAATCTGGAGGGAAACCAAGAGCTGAAGAAGCTTTTTGGATGAGAATTAAAACATCTTAAAAGAAAAACCAGAAAATCCAGTTGCCTCTTAAAAAAGCACCTTTGGGATAATCAGTGGAAAGATTTTGCCTTCAGAAGTAGGCAAAAACTTGTAGGTGCTTCATCACTGAAGGTTTTCAAGAAAACACTGGACAGCCACATATCTGAAATTGTATAAGGACTCGTGCTTGAGCACGGTGTTGGACTAGGAGACCTTCAAGGACCCTTACAGATCTATTCTAACTGATTGATTGATCCCTTTTTGGTTCAATTTAAGTTTAATTTTGTTTATCCGCTAGTTCTCCCTTACCCCTCTCACCCCAAACCTCATTTTTCCAGCAATCCCCAGACTAAAACTTTCAATTACTTTTCATTTTCATTCCTTAACTAAAAAGGGCAGAAGATTATTAAGTAGAATTCTGGGGAATTATGTAAACAATGGCAAATCAAACAGCTTGATGGGCTTTCGTGGTCAGGAGACTAAAATTATTACAGCAATTAAGAACAGTGGTAGAAACCCTCCATAGTACATTCTGAGATCTTCGTAAGATCCTTTCTTTGAAATCTTTGTCCCTCAATTTAGAACTGTGGCAGTTGCTGAGCTGCTGTGTATAAATAAGGGATACCAGTAGTACAGTTAAGTCAAACTATGGTTACATTGATATGAACCTTAAATGTTGGGATATCTGAGAAAACTAGTCACGTGTCATGTGCAAAGAGAGAGAAATAGCAGGAGTAGCAGCTTGTGGTATTGCTGAGGTGCCTTGGAATAACAATGGGAAAAAAGGAAGGGAAAATCTGGAGGAACTCAACGGAAGAAAATATGGAGCAGAGTGATCTTTTCTCAAACCCAGCACAGCCACGGCTAAAACAAAGGAAAATGAGAAATTAACAGAAATTAACAGAGTAACAGAGTTAGAGGAGAACTTGTAGGGTCCAACCCCCTGCTCAGGGAAGAAACCCTACACCACTTCAGACAAATGGTTGTCCAAACTCTTCTTTAAAACCTCCAGTGATGGAGCACCCCCAACTTCTGGAGGCAAGTTCTTCCACTGATTAATTGTTCTCACTGTCAGGAAATTTCTTTTTAATTCTAGGTCGCTTCTCTCCTCCATTACTTTCCACCCGTTGTTTCTTGTCTTGCCTTCTTGTGCTTTGGAGAATAGGTTGACCAACCTCTTCTTTGTGACATCCTCTCAGATATTGGAATACCGCTATTATGTCAACCATAGTCCTTCTGTTTTCTAGACTAGACCTACCCAATTCCTGCAAGCTCTAGAAAGTTCTCCTTATTTCTAAATTGGTTCTCTCATTGATTAGTTTCCATCCACTGCTTCTTGTTATGCCTTGCACCTCTGGATCACTTGAAATTTACAGATTATCTTCTAGGGCAGCCCCATGTAGGGAGTTTTGAAGCAACTTTTCTTATTAAACAGCATAAAATGTAAACATGAGTAACAGAGTATAATACATAGAAATATAAAATTTCATGTCTCATTGCAATTCTGTCTCTTCTAATGAGGATCGGCATTGAGGTTCAATTCCCTTGTCTCAGCTATTTACATGTGTTAAATGTAGATGATTCTCTTTTTGAAAGCCCAATGAATGCCAGACAGAGAGGTGACCATAACTGGAGAAGATGAATTTTTATTGGTTATCACTGTCCTTCAGGGATTTCATGGACCTGAGATATGCATTGTCCAGTGTAGGAGCCAATCTTGAATGCAATTAATTACTTTTCCAAGGTCATTTCATTGAACTCTTTGTCCCTCAGTTTAATTGTTTATATTAGAACAGAGGCCATTCTATGATGTTGTGAATAGCTCAAGAATGTCAGTCTATACTCAAGCCATGGTTATCTAGACTTGCCATAATTCTGAGATGTTTGAGGAAACATCATGGGGCAAGAGAGCAAAAACCTCAAGAAAAACAACTTCTCATCTGTTTGCCTACACTAGGTATATTTTCTGAATATTTCAGAAAGCTATTTCTCTCTGAATAGCTAAGTGCCAATGAAACAGCAGAATTCAAAGAGGAAGTCTAATATGGGAAATACATTTTTATTTCTCTGACAAGGTATGATTGTGGTCTCAAAAGGTAACTTGTTCTAATAAATATTGGGAAATTTGCCCAAAAATCTTGATTAGGCTTACATATGGTGGTGAAAATCTTACTTTTCTAACAGGCCTTAGGGCTGGGTTGTGAATTTTGGAAAGGAGGGAGGAGGGAGGGAGGGAAGGAGGGAGGAAGGAAGGAAGGAAGGAAGGAAGGAAGGAAGGAAGGAAGGAAGGAAAAACATAGACTTTATCTACATCCTCTTATTGAATACAAACTCTCCACTGAACCTGGCTTTCTAGGAGCGTCTTTATACCTCACTAGGAATATGCAAATATCATCAGGAAATCTTCCTCTTCATAAGCAAGGTCCTCATTTTAAATCTTTACATTTCCTTTAAATCGTACATGTCAGATTGAAGGAAAAAAACTTTAAAAAGAGACTATGAATTTCTTGCTGTTTTTCTTTTCCCTGATAGCCATGCCAAAATGTAAGAAGACAATGTTAGAGAAAGCAACTGTGACTTTTTATTTTTCAGAGGCTTGTGAATCCTGATTATTTTTTTGTCTTTTACTTCTTTAGGGTCACTTTCTGAGGTGCAACTTGTGTCATCGGGGCCAGGAACTGTAAGACCAGGGCAAAATCTCAACTTGGTCTGTAAAGTTACTGGTGTCTCCATCACGAGTAGCAGCTATGCTTGGAACTGGGTCCGTCAGCCTCCAGGGAAAGGCTTAGAATGGATTAGTAGAATCTTCCCCTATAATGGCGGAAAATGGTACTCATCTTCTCTTCAAAGCCGCACCACCATTGCTTCAGACAACTCCAAGAATGAATATTCGCTTCAGTTGAACTCCATGTCAGCCTCTGACACTGCCGTGTATTATTGTGCCAGAGATGCACACTGACTGATTTTGCTTTCTCTTCTCGGCAAAAACAGGAAACCGATTCTGACAGGGCATTTCTGTTCCATGCAGCAGATCAACATTCAGAAAATGAAAGCATTTGAATTCTTGGAGTTAATTCTCCCAGAAAAAAACATTGTTAATGAATGTACGCAGTCATTGAAATGTTTAATGAAAAGAAGGAATATGAATGCAGTGTTTCAACATCTAAGAAGCTGCCGCAAAGACGAAGGGGTCACCCTATTCTCCAAAGTACCTGGAGGCAGGACAAGAAGCAATGGATGGAAACTAATCAAGGAGAAAAGCAACCTAGAACTAAAGAGAAATCTGTTAACAGTTGGGACAATTAATCAGTGGGACAACCTGGCTCCAAAAATTGTGGGTGCTTCAACACTTGAAGTTTTAAAGAAGAGATTGGACAACTATTTGTCTGAAATGCTGTAGAGTCTCCTTGTTCTGACCTTGGCTTCCTGAGTCAATAAAACACACAAGTAGCCCCGCCAAAGCCTCTTTTACTGCAATAGCTGTGAATTCTGTTCATTTACAGATGAGTCCGAAATAGTTATAAAGAGTCCTTTGGGATATGGCTGATAATCACCCCCCTTTATCTCCCTTGACACGCTGCCAAAGACATAATTGGCAAAGCCACACGGAGTCCACAATCAAACAGAGCTTCAGACTTTAAACTGAACAGAATTAACAACGTTGCTTCCCACAAAGGCCCAAGTGCATTTACTGCACTTTTATGTCTTATGGGAGGGGCCAATCATTTCTAAGCCTTACTCCTGAGTCAACCCTTTTGTTTTAACTGTTCTTGCCTTCTAGCAGCTCTGCGCATGTGCACACTGGGAACAGACTCCCCCTATTCCTCTGCCTCTCTTATGTCTGTCTCTGGAGGCTCCGGAGGCAGCAGGTACCTCCCAGATGGCTCTTTCTCTGCCTTCGACACAGAGCCCTCGTGTTTATAAATAATCCTGATTATTTTTTTGTCTTTTACTTCTTTAGGGTCACTTTCTGAGGTGCAACTTGTGTCATCGGGGCCAGGAACTGTAAGACCAGGGCAAAATCTCAACTTGGTCTGTAAAGTTACTGGTGTCTCCATCACGAGTAGTAGCTATCGTTGGCACTGGGTCCGTCAGCCTCCAGGGAAAGGCTTAGAATGGATTGGTAGAATCTACGTCTATGATGGCAGCAAACGGTACTCACCTTCTCTTCAAAGCCGCACCACCATTGCTTCAGACAACTCCAAGAATGAATATTCCCTTCAGTTGAACTCCATGTCAGCTTCTGACACTGCCGTGTATTATTGTGCCAGTGATACACACTGACTGATTCTGCCTTCTCTTCTGGGCAAAAACAGGAAACTGATTCTAACAGGGCATTATATTTAAAATTGTATTCAGTCATTGAAATCATTTGAATTTTTGGAGGAATATATCTCCAAGAAGAATATCAAAACAGTGGACTTGTCACTGAAATTCATCTTCAGACAATAACAACACTTCTTCTTCCTAATCGATCCATCTGTCTGGAGCCACTCCAGTTAATTGATATGAATTTTATGACTTTTTTGCAGTTCACTACATGGGTAGAAAGGGGGTAGAGTTTGGTTCACAATGTCCTTAAACCAAATGAAAAGAATCAGAAATGGTAGGAAAAGAAAGCTATCTGTGGTGTCCACAGATATAAAAGCAGTCTATTATTGTGCCAGAGAGACACACTGACTGATTTTCCTTCAAATATGCTGAAATTTTAGCCATTTCAGCTAAATTAGTTACTTTCAATATCCAGTCATCAATAGTAGACAAAAAGTCCTTCTTCCAATGTTGTGCTACCAACAATCTTGCTGCTGTTATCAAGTTCAAAATCAGTTTAGTCTCTGCAACTGTACAGTCCGTAGTTATACCCAATAAGAACAACTGTGGAGTAAATTTCAGTCTCTTTTTAAGAATATTCTGCATCACCCACCAAATCTTTATCCAAAATGCTTTGACTTTTTTACAAGTCCACCATATATGATAATAAGTTGCATCATCACAGTCACATCTCCAACATTTAGCTTGCACATTAGGATACATACATGATAATTTTTTTGGGATCTAAGTGCCATCTATAAAACATTTTATAAAAGTTTTCTCTTAAATTTTGTGCTTGTGTAAATTTCACATTTCTAATCCAAATCTTTTCCCAAGTCTCCATCATTACTGGCTCTTGAAAGTTTTGTGCCCATTTAATCATACAGTCTTTAACCAGTTCCGTCTCAGAGTCTATTTCCAATAAAGCATTATACAACCTTTTAATATGCATTTGTTTTTTGATCTCTGATTTGTTTTACCAAATTCTCCTCATTTTGCACAAAGCCAGTTTTTTGATCTTCCTTCCATCTAGCTTGAAGTTGACCGTACTGAAACCATGTATAAATTTTACCTTCTTCTCTCAATGTATCTAAAGATTTCAAATACATTACCCCCCTTTCCATAATAAGAAGCTCTTTATAGGTAATCACCTCCTGTTTTTGTTCTATACTTATATTTTCTATTGCATGTCTAGGATTTGCCCATACAGGTATCTTATAATTTAACTTATATTGATATTTTTTCCAAACCCTCAACAAAGCATTTCTAAGTATATGAGCCTTAAATACTTTATCCACTTTTTTGTCATATAACAAATAGGCATGCCATCCATATAACAAATCATAACCTTCTAAATTCAAAATTCTCCACTCAGTTAAGTTAAACCAATCACTAATTTGTGATAAGACTGCTGCTTCATAATATAGTCTTAAATTAGGCATTTTGAGACCCCCTCTTTCACGTATATCTTGTATAATTTTCATTTTTATTCTGGGTTTTTTCCCAGCCCAAATGAAAGTATTAACACCTTTCTGCCATTCTCTCAGATTTTCATCTTTCTTAAGCACAGGTATCATTTGAAACAAAAATAAAAATCTAGGTAACACATTCATTTTAATTGCTGCAATTCTTCCCAATAAAGACAACTGTAATTTTTTCCAATTCTCCATATCCTTCTGTACCTTCTGCCAAAGAACCTCATAGTTATTTTTGTATAATTTTGTATTTGAAGCTGCTATGTATACTCCTAGATATTTAACCTTTTTAACTATTTCAAAATCTGTTAATCTTGCTAGTTTATCTCTTTCAAGTATAGGCATATTTTTAACTATCATCTTTGTCTTATGTGAATTAACTTTAAATCCTGATACTTTCCCGTATTGATCAATTATATCCAATATATATGGAGCCGACTCTATAGGTTGGGATAAGGTAACAACCAAGTCGTCTGCAAATGCTCTTAATCTATAATCTTGATGTCTAATTACAATACCCTTCAATTTTTCTGAGTCACGTATCTTATTCAATAGTACTTCCAAAGTCAAAATAAACAATAATGGGGACAGAGGACACCCCTGCCTTGTTCCTTTCTCAATTCTAAAAACCTCTGTTAAACCTCCATTGACTATAATTTGTGCTGTTTGCTGCTGGTATATCGCTCTAATTGATTGTGTAAAATATTCCCCAAAATGCATTTTCTCTATTATTTTAAATAAAAATTGCCAGTTCAAGCGATCAAATGCCTTCTCTGCATCCAAAAATATAAACGCTGCAGGGACTTGATTATTTTTTTCCAAATATTCCAGTAAATTTACAATTTGTCTAACATTATATCTCATTTGTCTCCCTTTTATAAACCCTGATTGGTCATTATGAATTATTTGTTGCATAACTGGCATTAATCTATTAGCTAGTATCTTAGCAAAAATCTTATAATCAGTATTCAGAAGTGAAATTGGCCTAAAATTCTCAGGTTTGATGGAATTTTGATCCTCCTTTGGAATTAGTGAGACAAAGGCTGTTTTCCAGGAAGGTGGTACTCCTCCTCCTACTTGTATTTTATTAAATAAGATTTTGAGTGGTTCTAACATTTCAGATTGTAAATGTTTATAATAAACAGCTGTTAGCCCATCTGTTCCCGGAGCCTTTCCTATTTTTAATTGTTTAATTGCCCCAACAATTTCCTCGGAAGTTATTGGCTGATTCAATCTCTCTCTCTGTTCCAGCGTTAATTCAGGAATCTCCATCTTTAAATATCTATCAATATCAACATCTTGAATTACATCTTTAGCATATAACTTTGTATAGAACTCCAAAAAAGCCTTTTTTATTAAATTCTGTTGATAAATCTCCTTACCTCTAAATTCTATCTTGTCTATAACACGTGATTTTTGTTTTTTTCTCATCGTGTAAGCCAACCATCTCCCAGGTTTATTAGCATTACAAAATGTATTATGTCTGGCATATTGTATGCTGGTTGCTACTTGCCCAGCCATTAACATATTAAATTGCTCTCTTAAGATATTAATCATATCTTTTGCCTTTTTATCTCCCGGGTTAATTATAAGCAATTGTTCTTTCTTTTTAATTTCCTCCTCTATCTCTTTCCGTCTGTTTTGTTGTTTTAATCTATATTTATTGTTCAAGAAAATTAATGTTCCTCTCATATATGCCTTACTAGCATCCCATACCATCTCCATCGAGGTTCCTTTATTCATATTGTTAACAAAAAATTCTTTCATTTGTTTTTTAAGTTCACTCAGGTTATCTTCATATCTAAATAAATTCTCATTTAACCTCCAAGACCTCCTTTCCCCTCTTTCCTGCTCTAGTTCCACCCAAACCGGGCTATGATCAGTTAAAGTTCTTGGACATATCTTCATATTCTTCACCCTAGAAAAAAGATCATTTGTGGTTAATATAAAATCAATCCTAGAAAAAGATTGATGCCTATCTGAAAAAAAAGTAAAATCACTTTCCAATACGTTCCTTTCTCTCCAAATGTCTCTAAGCTCCATATCCTCCAAAATATCAAAAAAAGATTTAGGCAACTTAGCACGCATAGATATCTTGGAAAGACTTTTTTTTTTATCTTTCTGGGTATTTATTCCAATCACCCATTAGAAGTAAAGATCTATAATCCCATTGTAGTATTTTAGTATGTAAAAGTTTCCATTTGAATTGCCACATCTTCTGGCCTTTCTGAAATCAGCTCTGCTAAAGCATTGGAACAAATATCTTTTAAATTTTCACCACTCTTTTCTTTCAAACCTCTCAGCCTCAGGGCAAATTCCATTGATCTGTATTGTAACATAACCATTTTGTCATCCACTTTCTCTGTTTGTATCAAAACCTCTCCTAATTTAGTTGCAAGCTCCAAATTATCATCATCAATTTCCCGTACTCTCTCCTCAATCTTTAACATATGATTAGCCAGTCCTGAAACTGCAAAAACAATATCATCTCTTATTTCATCATGTTTTTCCTCCACCACACCTTTAATTTTCTTTAACTCCTCTGAAAATTCTTTCATCATTTCTTCCTGATTGTTCAGGGCACCCATTATAAATTCTGTAAGGTCTTGTGACTGTGTATCAGCCGGAAGTTGTTGTTTTTGAGTCATTACAGGGGAACCTCCTCCCCCTTTAGAAGTTGGTGGCTTTAGTTGTTTAGCAGCCATTTTATTTTAAAAAGAGTTTTTTTTCCTTTTGCAGCCACAAAGTCTTATAAACAGTCTTACAAAGTATATTTCAGAGTTTTTTCAAAATAAACAGTCCTCTCTTCAAACTATACTCAATCCCCAACAGTTTTCTCTTCAGGCAGAGGGCTCTTAACAGACAGTTTCCCTTTAACTTTCACTTTCCCTTCCGCCCATAACAAGGGCTTCCTCTCCAGCCTCCAGCTCAAGAGAGCTCCGTTTGCAACAATGTATTCACGGAGTTAAGTTCTGTTTCTTTTAAAAAGATTGCACTCTTGCTTCCGCTCTGTCTGCCTTGTTAGAAATCATTAGAACTCACTGTTTGCCGGCAGAATTGGATGCAGACGTCTTGCTCTGATTAACAGAGGCACCAGCAATCCGGAGCAATGGGAGGGGTGAACTTGGGAGCTCTCACCCTCCGAGTCCCTGGAATTAATCCAGGGACTTTCAGGGAGCTCTAACCACCCCCTCCGACTCTCCTCTCCTACTTTGCCCGAAGGAGAGTTTTTTCAAACTGCCGGACAGCAGTTTAACACTGTCAGGGCGGTTTTTACAGATCGGGTGGCTGGCGGTCTATGGAGACCGTCCTCGTCATCCGTGGAGCCACCGGAAGTCTCCCACACTGACAGATTTTGTCTGCTCTTCTGGGCAAAAACAGGAAACTGATTCTGACAGGCCATTTCTGTTCCATGCAGCAGATCAACCTTCAGACAAATGAAATCATTTGAATTCTTAGAGTAAATTCTCCCAGAAAAAACATTGTTAATGAATATAC